CAAGAAAGCAAAACACGAAACAAAAAATCTGCGATCAAATTCATATTAAATAATTTATAGTTCGTTATAATGTCAGTCTATTTGTGTTACAATTTTTCTTCATTATCATTGATTTTATCCTTTTTCGTCATGCAAGTTAAGTTGCTACGAGTGCGAAAACAATTGTTATAATGTTCGGAAGTTTACTACTTTTAAACATTGATATCAATCTAAAAAGATAAATGTGTCCTGATAACATAAATTGATATCCAAGATGGCTGCCTAGTTATTCAACTAAACTTAAATAAATTACAGTACATTGTTTTAAATGACCCATTGAATCAGATCAAAAGCTCTATCTATCCACTTCGACATTAAATTATCAAACCTGTGTTTTGTTACCTGTTTTTAGTCGCCAGTTTATATTTTGTTCTAAAATGTATTCTATATTTGTGTCAAATATCTCCAATTGAGATATTAACCTTATAGGCTATCCCGCTCTTTCCAATAGAGATAACCTTAAGACAGTTTGCCATTTTATTGGTCCTATTTGTTTCATATACATTGACATGTTGCTCCCTATACATTAATGCATTTCTTGTTTTTTGCTTTTATTAGGATTATCTTTGATTTACTACCATTGGAGTCACGTGGCTGTATATCTTTAAGTATTATATATGGCCTATGTTATCGCATTGATCACGTGCTCTTTGGTTATGTTTAGTCATTTGTTTTAACTTCCTTGAACAAATTAAAACGTCTGACCGTTTTTTGTTACCAGAGATTAAGATTACTATCGCAACTGGAAGACTGTTTCATAACTTTATCTTTTTCTCGACAGATGGACGACTTCAAACTAGAATCTAAGACAAACGTAGTTTCAACTTTTCACTCGTCAACTTCCCATTTCTCAGCAGTAACATGCCCTCTGACCCATTATATGGTGTTTACATATCTCAATGAATATGATACGCTCGTGCATGTTTACCGATACGATATGCCTCAACTCACTAGCGCCATGTTTTCACATTCTCGGATTTGTAGATACCAAAAATAGTTGTTGTCTTATCTGTAATTTTACAAAATTTTAGTTGTGACATTTTAACTGAGTGTTGATTCGCATAGCGGGTGATGTATGCATAGCAGGAGACGCTTACCCTGCATCAACGCACCCATTCCCTCTCTTTGAAGGGGGGGGGGGGGGGGGGGGTCATACAATTCCTTCAGTTGTTGTATGTAACCTTGATTTGTCTCCATACTCGATATGACATTCAAACATCGGCAAACATCTTTTGCCTTTATTTGCCCCTTTTGATAAATGGCTCTGAATATATATTTACATACTTTGCATTTTGGTCCTGATCGATTTCATATATTCGTGAACAATGCAAACTGTCTATTTATTTTTTATTGTTTTATTGGGTTGTTGTTTTCGCTCTGTTTGATAAACTATCTTTTGAAGAAAAGACTACAGAGGGTGACTGATGACCCATAAAATGGTATAAAGAACAACACAAGACCAACATACCACTAAACAGACAAGTTGTGTCCCAAATTCTCCAAAGCCAACATACCGCAGATTTTTTGTTTTCCTTTTTTTTTTAAATGTTATAGCACTGTAAAGATCTAGATATAGCGTTTGTTTGGTTAAATAGATATATTGTTATGCGTTTACTTTTCTACATTGGCTAGAGGTATAGGGGGAGGGTTGAGATCTCATAAACATGTTTAACCCCGCCGCATTTTTGCGCCTGTCCCAAGTCAGGAGCCTCTAGCCTTTGTTAGTCTTGTATTATTTTTAATTTTAGTTTCTTGTGTACAATTTGGAGTTTAGTATGGCGTTCATTATCACTGAACTAGTATATATATTTGTTTAGGGGCCAGCTGAAGGACGCCTCCGGGTGCGGGAATTTCTCGCTGCATTGAAGACCTGTTGGTGGCCTTCTGCTGTTGTCTGTTCTGTGGTCGGGTTGTTGTCTCTTTGACACATTCCCCATTTCCATTCTCAATTTTATACAATGTATAATATATCGTATATTCACATGAATGTCGATGGTTGAAGACTTTATGTTGATCTATTGGTGTTTTTCCCTTGTTTGATTGCTTTCTCAATGAAGTATATCCCACATGTCCTATTATTCATATGACAAATGCATCTTATCTGCAAGTACATGAAACTATCTTAACCCCACAAAATGTTGTGCCTGTAAATGTATCAAGTCAGGCTATCTGGACTATGTGCTTTTTATTGTTGTGCCTTTCTTTGAATGTTTACTTTTTCGGAGTCGGATGTTGGTAGTTTGTGTGGTGAAATGTACTACCCAACTAATTTGGTAATTCGTGTTATTAGTCTTGTGTATTTTTAAAGAAACTATGGAAAAACATGTTGAACTGTACTGTGTTTTACATTCAACGAACAAAGCGAAATGAAAATAAGAAAACATACAGCACAATTTTAGCAAAGTATTGAAAATAAAAGAAGCACATACATTAGTTTGCTAAAACTGCATTTAAGTTTTTCACTGTTTAGAGCAATCCAAACAAGTAAGAAAATACTCAGGAAACAATCAAAATCCACAAATCGAAGACGGACGGACAGTTACACCATGGCCAATAGAAAATAAACGAACAAATAACAACAGTCGACAAATTGAACATTGAACAGAAGAGTAAAGATACAGCAAAATAAGACCTATCAAAACCTTTGGTTTATTTATGTGCTCTGGAAAGACCGGAAGCTCATGTTTAATAGTGACATCCGTCACATTTTCGTGTTAAAAACCATGGATGAACAATATCCGGGTGAAAAAACACTGTTCCTTTGATGAACGACCAGTACATAAATTTGTTTCATGCAAATCTACGTCGAAACTCTTTTTTTCAAAATAAAAGGTCATCACATTGAATGGAGGGAGGTGAGTATTTTATCTAAAATCAATTCAAATTTCATATATCAATTACACAAAATTAAAAAAGTAATTGTCAACATGAAATGAGGATAATGTTTTTTGGGTGTTTCTCGTCATGTACCTTAGTGCACTGTAGTTCAGGAATTCAGCTTCGGCATCAAAAGGAAAAAAGCAAAATCAATCTAAAGTCAATTTCGTCTGAGGGATATTACAACCTAAGTTTAAGTACAGTTATACAAGTAAGCAACTGAATATTTGCAATCACAATTTTAAATGTAGATCACGTGAATACCGAAGCACTTACTACCGGTCAGATCCTAGCACAGGGAGATTATATGCGTTTTCTGGGGAAATTAAAGAAGGAAGAAAAATCGTGCAATTCGCACATACTGCATGTGCTCGATACTACTATAACACAGAACGTGACCAATCTATGTGTTAAAGTAGTCCCAGGCACATATAAGAATATTGCTTTTTCGTGCCCTTTTTGCAAACAAGTGTCCTCTTATAACGAACTTTAGTCAGTTGCTTTTCCTAGCTTAGTTCGTGAATATTTTCCAATTATACAGTCCATCTTATGATAAAATACCGACCACTGCATGCACAATGAACACTTTACTATGTTTTAGAATGCATATATAAAAAGAATTTGGCTAAATCAACATTACAACGAACTCGATAGAAGTAAACCCATACGTTTGATGCATGAGTGCTGTGACCATTTGTTATGTTTTGTTTTACTTGAAATAATATTTGTTTATGTAAATTCTATAAGCTGTATTGCTTTTGAATAAAAGAATTAACTAATATTAGAGGTGTCTCTACTGACTTGTTATTTCAACAGTTAAATGTCCATATACTTGAAAACCATGCGAATTACGCTTATGTGTTGTAATTAGAAAAAAATATAAAATATTTAAGAAACTTTATAATAATGCATGTCTAAAATTTTAAACGTCTTTACAAAAATCTGCACAAAAAACCCTTCAGAGTAAAGGAATAAGAATGTCATTTGAATGCATAAAAAAATACACTGTTTTAAGTGATCATCCCAGTGTTATGTATTAATGTTATCTCATTTAGATTCACACACCTTCTGTGATTTATATATTGATAAATATTTAGCTACAAAAAAGAGAGGAAAACTAGGCAACGAAATATATTTCTTTGAAGAAAGACAAATTGGTGCAAACTTCATATTGTTTGCAGGATTACAGGTTTCTTGATTGATATTTATAAAAATTTGGTACACATACTTGTTTGTATAATTTCATAAAACAAAAATGATAAAATTTGTATGTATGTTTTGATAAAATTTGAAATGCATATATTTCTATTGAATTATTGAATTTTAAAATGCATGTTCAAGTGAAGGTACTAGCTTTCTGTTGAAAAAAAAAACACTTTTAAAATATAGTTATGTAAACAAGACAATTTGAATCATTAAGTATTTCTTGAGAGTACATGTGGTTTTCAATTAGCAATTTGTAGAATTAGTGTCAAAGTAAATCTGGCAGATTAAATGTGAAGTTTTTTTTTATCATTTACAATTTTACAAAATAAATTAAAAATATCATACTTTTCCTACTTTTTTATCATTTTTTTTTAACAAAAGTGATTAAGTCATACATCATCTTATTTATTCAATCTCCTGCAAGAACAAATTTTCAACACCTGCTTTTAAAAAAAGAACTATTTGTATCATGTTTAGAAAAATGGTATAATGGTTGAATAAATCAAATTTAAAAGGGTATTACGAATAGTTTTACTATTATGACTTTGAATACCAAATTGGGATTAAAATGTTTATCAACATGCAACGTGTGACGTTAAAAAATAAATTAGGAAAACCGTTGTGAAACATTTTTATAAAAAAAGTAAATGAAAAATAAAACAACGAATATTTTGTTGGAAAAAATATCACGTTACTGCATATTATTTTATAATGATATTTCGTGAAAATCTTCAATGCGTCTAGTATTTTTATATTAAAGTTACAAGGAGTAGAACGAGTTCATTATTCCCGTATGAGTAACTTTTAACACTGAACACGTAATTCCATTTAGAATAATGCTTTCAGGAGCATACACTGAAAAGAGAAACTACAAGAGCTAAATATAAAAAATAATTTTAATAAATGTAAATGATGAAATTATGGAATTTGAAAATATTAAATATTTCAATGAAAAAACATAGCACATTTAGTATATAATCAACAAACAAACAAACGTGAATACAAAACAAAATTCCCTTTAGAAGGGGCGAAAACAACAAAATTAATCTGGCAAGAATGTATATAGAAACAAGATTATAATTTTACGAAAACTTCGTCCTGCATTTTTGAATTTGATTATAAATATCACCTACTCTCTGCTGCAAAACTTGTATATTTTTGCGTGGAATTTTTGGTATATATCTATGAAATGGTTCACTGTCTGTAAACAATTTATGTAGTTCATCACCTATACTACCAGAAAGATGCAGACGTTCGATTTCGGACGCCGTCGATTTTCGAAAAACACATAATGAGTTTAACAACGATTTATGATAAGATGAATATTTTTCTAGCAGTCTATATCCATGGAACAACCCAGATTCATTGTCTAGAAATATTAGAGCACCGGAAGTACTTCTCTCCAAATTATGTGTGGGACTGTTCATCATCTGGTCGTTCCATTGTTTGTTGAACATATTATTAACTACCCTGTCTAGATTAGCTGTCAAATAATCGAAAATAACTAAATCCGACCACTGCAGTAAATCACATAAAGAATCTTTGGATTTCTGTCCGAGCTCTTTGCTCGGATACAAGTTTTTGTCCTCCCCTCGAAATTCGAGAGGAATGAAAGACGGTTTGAGATTATCTATCCATTTTGTTACTATAATTACTCTATCGTCTGGCCACTGTGCGTTGGCAATTTCTGGCCGAACAGATAGCCATTGGTCACTTTTAGAATCTAAAAGTTTTAAAGAAGATGGTGGCACATTTGCAATTTTTAATAATTTGCTAAGATAATAAGAGTATATTTCTCCTTGCATTTGGTCTGTATTGAGACGATAACGTGCACATGCTTTGCTTGCGTCACGAAAAGTTAACATCCTATTTTGCATCCTCCCGCATCCTTCTCCCATTTTCACGATTTTCACGGAATTCACTTTGTCTTTCCATGATGTATGATCTCCATGGTTAAATCCTGATGGACACATATTTTCTACATCATTTGTCCAGAAAATTTCAGAAACAATATTTTTAGGCGAAACCACATTTAGGTCAGCGTTCGTAATTTTCACTTGCGTATCCTTAGTTAATCCATCTTCGTGTAAAGAGCCTTTACTTTGCTTTTGATCTTGGTAATGATTAATAATTCGACCGGTTTGAAGAGTGTTAGGTTCGATATAATCCGATGTTCCATTGTTTCTTGCAAATACAACACCGTGTCGAGAGGGTCTCAAGCTACTTAGAGGATTACTGATTGAAAGTTGTTTTCTATGGCCGGCAGGTTGAAACTGATCTACAATTTTTCCTTTGTCATCTTGTGTATTTGATGTGTCCAATACATTATTCAATTCATTTTGGCCATCTATCAAGTGACCTGTTTGTAACTCATCTAAATGTAAACTGACCCCATCTCGGGGGTCATTCGTGGGTAATGTTATCACAGGAAGCTGAATTAAAAGTCCAACAAAAACACCAAATGTGAAAGCGATACCGGTCATTGTTATGGCTAGAGATCTCCTCATAACACAATAAAAAACCAATTTGAAGTTCACATTAGCTATCTTGATTTGTAGTTCTTCCTTTATTGTCTTGTTGTTTAGACGCAAGTCCTTTCTGAGTAAATTATTATGAAAATATTTATTTTTCTCTAAATATTTCTACTAAGTCATCACTAGTGTATTTTTCATATGTCCATAAACAAAAATTCGTTGTAATTTTCACATATACTATTTGATTCCGTCTCATATGCACAAAGTTTGATTTTCCTTAAAAATCCTACTCACTTATTTTCCTTGTGCATCATGGTAAATACAAATCCAAAATGATCCAACACGAAAAGTTTCGGTATTCTTATTCTTAAAAATTGCTCTGCTGTTTTTCACACTTTGTCCGTAAGATTTACAAGCTCTGTCTGTAATTAATTCCCTAATGAGTGTTTGTAACGAGTGTCAAATATTCTCTGTGACAAACAACAGTTCGGTTGTCGGGTTGATCATCGTGAACATTGTCACATGTCAAGAACCATGTTTCGATCTTCACACCATCGTTGAACTAAACTTTGTTCGTAAGGTCTTTATCCACGAGAACTGCAAGTAAAAATATTTTTACAGTTTAATGTATTATAATGACCGTTGTTATACTCCATGTGAATATAAATCTGTTCTAAAACCAATTCATATCGGATTTAGATATTTAATAATAATGCTTTAAAGTTTCTAATACGTCAACATTTCCAATGCGCATGTCTCGAATAAAAAGCAACCTTACAATGTCCATATAAAATCGATCCAGGGTGATTATTTTCAATTCAGGTACTACGCCGCCTGCTATTTGGCGTGTATAAGGTAGACAATTGAACAAAAGAAAAGAAAATTTCGAACAAATTGGTCCGGTCGAAATAAAAACTACATACTGTGAATTTATATATTATGTAAAACTGACAATGCGATCAAAAGTAATGTCCCTGCGGGATTCCTTCTTTGTCAGCTGTCAATCATTTACCTGTTCATAATTAATGCGATTTTTTACAGGTAATACGTTTATGATGCATTGTCAATTTTTTATTGGTAAAGACAGATCTCGACGTTTTAATATTAATGATGATTTTGAGGAAATAGTAATAATATCTCGAGGTAAATACCTCAAAAACTGTAAACAAATTAGATTACAAGTCAACTGAAACATATATGATAGGCTATTGGACTAGACCAAATTACATCATTGCATCCAATCATGCATTCAATGTGAATATCCATCATCTTTAAAACATATTGCATGAAATTTAAAACTAATGAAATTAACATTTCAATTCTGGAGAAATTTTCAAAACATAATTGTGTTTTTTTTGTTTCTTTTTAAGTCGGAATGTTTTTGTTAATTTTTCAATAACATATGTAAAAACAAGTCGTAACATCAAATGTATTCTTTAAAGCAAGGACGTATATTTTAATATTGACAATACAATGTCTGTGTAAAGTAATTTTTTTTCTAGAAAGCAATAAATACAATTTTCAGACATATACTTGAAACATCCATCGCGAGTCTGTTGCTCTAACTTTTCGAGTAAAATGATATATACAATACAAAAAGACAAGATGTTCATTTCTATTTGTTTTATTTAAATATTTAAATATCATCCAAAGTGACTTTAATCCAATCAAAACTTTTTAAAAGGTGCTATAGATAGGGAAACGTTTTGCCGTAGGTAAATACTAGTCCCCGTTAAATCAACACTACGCCACAACATTTTGTTATATCTATTGTCTACTATATTTGTCCACTTAAGTCTTGTGTCAATAATCGATGACTTTACTTACTAAATATTTAACTATTCAATAGAAAATCTAGTCTAAATCAAAACAAATCTTTCAGTAAACATCAGAAAAAGTCGCGAATACACGAGTCCCTTAAAGAAAGTAGATGAACACGCAAAGATATATTAAGGTGAATTCGATTTGTAGTGATAAGTTTATTTTGATTTTTAAATTACATGTATTCGAAAAAAAGCCACTTAAAACAACCAACACCTATAATAAAGACTTGTGTTGAAGATACATTTGTCTTGTCAAAAATATTAAAAAAAATAAAAACAAGTGTGCATAATAATATTGGATTTTCAGCTTTGAGCTGTTTCGTCCGATTTGTACTCGAAATACTCGTGTTTCTTTGCTTCTCCACGAGTAAAGAATCTTTTTTTCTGTTACATTTCATTGCATTTTATGCAAAAGTCGGATACTTTGAAATATTTCAGTGTTTCGGTTGCTTTTCTATCTTCCTTGTTTACTATGGAAATATACAAAATGGTACATTAACATTTTTCAAATAACATAGTGGACTGAAGATAAAAGTACAAATTAGGGAACTTTTTTTTCGCACGCCAACAGCTTTAGGCGGAACTCATCCTAACAAAGCGTTTATTCAGGAAAAACAATATGGCCTGTAACACGACAAATTTCTGTAATTTGACACTTTATTTATTTCTGATATCAAATCTTTTGAGCGATTAAAATGGCAAAAACATTTTTTATCACGAAAGGTCATGCAAGGTCGCGATTTCATAAGCCTATTAAGATACATACTATCTTCTCTTATTTCAAGTACACATAAGCAAACAAAATGGAGGTCAATACTCCATGCCGTGTTTTTCGACATTTCACATTAATTTTTAATATTCATTGTTTTGTTTTTTTATTCATCCTTTGCGAATTTGATAGTTTGACACTTTAATGTAAGAAAAATATAGCAACCTTTTTTGCTTTTATTATATAGTCGTGGAATGTATTACAGGTGCGCTCGATTTGTTCAACAGGCAATCAACTGAAGTGTTTTCTATATACGTGCCTAGAAGCAAGTTTGAAACGACAAGCTGCATCATATCAAATTTACTTTGATGGTTCCAAAAACTGGTAAATTTTGCATATTATTATTGATAATCACGCAATCTTTTGTTACCAGATTCATACTTAATAACGAGGAATCAAATCTAATACCTGCGCATCAAGACATGAATATACGTAATGAAATAAAAACTGCCTTTTACAAAAGTTAGCATCAATTTAATTGAATACTTTGGTCCAATTTACAATGAAAAAATCTTCTTTGGAGAAAATGTGACTTGGTGCTATTGACTTACATTTATGCTCAACGCTACCATTTCGATTAATAGTGATGGTAACCATATTGGTTGGCAACCGAGTCATTGGACACCAATCTGACCAGACCAGAGGAGATAATTTGACAGAAAACCAACAATGCTATTATCTGTCGAAAATATATGCATTTTATTGCCAGTCATAAGAAGATGTCCGTTACCATACCACACCATTTCATTTTCGATATACATTTTTATGCATCCAAATATATTATATATTCTTAAATCATTAGGTTGCTTGTTTTTTTTATAAATTAAACTATTTAAAAAATTGTTTAAAACACTGTCGCATGTCATCACCATATTAAACTAAATCATATAATTCTCTCACATAATTAAATTCTTAAGAATGGTTCGACTTCATTTATTTCAGACCGATCTCACCGATTTTCACCTTAATTTAACTAAAAAATTTGTAAGTTTACAAAATAGTTAACAGTTCAAAAGACATCAATTTGGCACATTTAATTCAATAATTTAACTAAGATAAAACAAAATGGTTTATATTGATACTCAAGACATCTTAACTTTTCTATAAGGCAAAGGTTGGTTTTGGAGAGAATGAAAAATACACTTTTATTAATCCTTCAGGGTTTCAAAATCGGAATTGTGTCTAACCAAAGTCTAAGATTTGAATGTCTTTGTATAAACCGTCATTTGCTTACCTAGGACTATTTCGGTTTCCACGTTAAAATCTCGTTTCCAGTACGCGACGTTAGTTATTTGTGAGTTCTTTTCTGCCCAAAGTAATATATATGTGTTGCTTTAATATCTTACAATTAAGCATCTTTCACCGGCGTAATATTATATAATAGAATGACCCTTTTACCATGCTCATTTAAGCGGCCAATCAAAACTGCTACTTCTGGACACCTACATGTATGACCAAAAGCGATGGCATTGTGTAATAATTCTAAGTCTGTATTTTGAATTTATCGCTTGTCAGTTGATTAATAGTTTTGATGTAATTATTTGTCTACATTTAATAATTAATTTCAGATGCCATATATGCTTAATTAAGAATAATTGCAATCTGCCTTTAAGCATATGGGTGAACATGTCCTTTAACTAGATTGAATGTTGCTAATTTTTTTATCCATGCTGCCCGAGGAATCGGGACGGCTCCAGTCGCAGTATTACAGCATCATGTAACGCTAGTTTGCCAAAGTATTTAAACGTGTTTAAGGTTAAGCTACGAAAAAAAAATCAACAAAAGTTTGAGATTTTTTTTTACAAAACGAGACACATGTTTTTTGTCAAGTTCGACTATAGCTGATGTTGGCAGCAAAATTTCACAGCCCTGGTATTTCGCCAATTTTTTTAAATTATCTTTCAAGTTGATTTAGATACAAGGAAATATTTACTTTTAGCTATACATAAACAAAGGGCCCTGAAGCTCAGATAAATTAGTTTTTACATGTTATCCGTTTATAAACTAGGGCACAGGTAATATGTACCATTCTTATAAATTATAATAAATAAATAATTAAAAATATGACACATTTCTTCGATAGCCTAGTATACACGATGCAAAAAAATATGCACATGTTTTTATTACCACAATTCTTCATCGTCTACACCATACTATGAATACCTAAACAAGGACAGTTAAATGAATATACATTGAATGTAAAATCAGATACTGAAAAAGATAAAGGAAAAACTGTTATCTTCCTATGTTCCGATGTTTTGGCAACAGTTACATATTTGGAGAGTAAGAATGTGTAAAAAGCTATTGCAGAAAAGAAAATAAGTATCTTCATATCTACCAATTTTTAAATAAGTATCATGCAGTTATATGATGACTTGTTGGTCTAAGTCTGTTTCAATCACTGATGTACCAATAGTCAAAACAGAAAATCCTACCACCTTCATATCAGTTATACCAGAAGTCCATTACTAGTCCTACTTTTATAACAATTGGTTTGTTTTACGAAGATACTTTTTTTGCAGAATTTTATGGTCTGACTTTATAATTTGTCTTGAAACTAGAAAGAATGCACAAGAATAAAAATGATAAAAAGGGCTGAGCTTTACAGGGACCCTTAATAATCCAATTTTGAGACCTCGTGCTATAATAATGTTATTAGGTCTAACTTCTCATTACATGCTTCCCAGCATCCAATCTAAAAGGATTTCAATCTAAGAAAAGGTCAACGTGTGATCGGCTTTCAATCCATAAAGGGTCAAACTGACCGTATTTCAGTCAAAAAGCGTCATAAGTTTCGGCTATGTAAATTTTATTTTTAGGTTCATGGTCGATAACTGATACAGATGATTTTACTTCAATACATAAGTTACACATGAGAAACACATGCGACATCAATCCGATCAAAACTCCAAAGAACAAACAGCAAGTCACAGATTGGATTAAAGACAAGCCTACTTATATGTTTCAATAGATTATTACTACTACAGTCTTTTTTTTTGTTATTT